CTACGAGGAGGAGAGAGAGAGAGAGAGAGAGAGAAAGAAGAGCGGGAGGAAAAAAAGATTCCGGAAACACTTTAGATGGAAATCGGTTCGACCACGAGAAACATTGTTTCCTAGCCGGGGGAATATTCGTTGAGGAACGAAGTTTCTCGTAAAAGCGTAACACTCCGGCGGAATATTGCCTCCTCGAGTGTAAAGACGCGGCCAACTACCGCTATACCTTTCCGGGGATAATCGACTCGGGATGTATAATCGGCCGGTAATTGTCGTTAATTAGCAAGGCATCCAAGTCCAAGTCCATTAATAATTATCCCGGCTTTCGATAGAAAGGGGGAATAAAAAGGATAAAAGGAGGGGGAGGGGAGTCGAAGGAGATAATCGGAAACTTTTTCTTCTTCTTCTTCTTCTTCTTCTTCTCGCGATAAATTTGTAAGAGTTTAATAAGGATCTTAACCTTGGCAAAAATTTCGAGGGGAGAGGAAAAAAAAAAGGGGGATAGAAAGTTTTTACGAAGCTTTTTAGAAATTTTGAAAGGAAGAAAGATAATGAATAAATCGGTCGTTGACGCATTTGATTCGAATTGTATGCGATTAGTTTGGAAGTTTATTTTCGAGAATAAATAATCTTTCCACGCGGCCAGGGTAAAAATAAAACGAGATCTTTCCGAGGGGAGCAACTTGAATTAAAGTTGCAAGGATATTTTTAAGCTTTACAGAGATCAGACGAATATCCGTTTTTCCTATTCCGAAATGAAATTTACATTATGATACCTGAAAATCGGTTCTTACGATTCGAAGGGAAGAGCGAGACATTTCGTGTCAAAGGACATTTCAGTCACTCGGATTTCCAAAGCAACGTCCAAAGATATCCCGCGAAATTGTTCGTGGGTCGATAAAAGATCCACGATATCCTCTGGCTGCTTTTATTCCCGTTGAAACAACGGACGTAAGGGAAGGGAGAAAGAGAGATAGAGATAGATAGAGCGAGAGAGAGAGAGAGAGAGATCGTGTCAGGGAGTGGCGGAAATAGTGGCGCAAATTCGGTTGCTGCTCCGGCATTTGAAAGCCCGATGGAAACCCACGCTTACCGACTTTGGCGGCAGCTGTACCAGCGCCCACGACCGTAAAAGCCACATTATTACCGGTAGTACCGCTACCCACCTCCGTATACCTGTCGGTAATAACGTTACGAGCGTGTTATCGATCGTTTTGCACGTCGTACCCCGCAAAACGGATACGCCACGACGGCCTCGTAAAAGCTGAAATAGTTCCTCCACCTCCGCCCGCCCGCCCGCTGCTCCCCCTCTTGCTCAGCTACTCTGCCGCGCCGACACTCCATATATATATATATACACACACACACACACACATATATACAGGGTTTTCGGATGAAGTGAGTAGAAAATTTGTAGAGCGATCCGAGAGATTAATACGCGCGTAATTGAAGCGCGAGAAGATGTAGGTCGAGGATTATTTATTATTAAGTTGAAGCGAGCAGCTTCGTCGAATTGTTCGTGTAATTCGAACGATGCGATGTGAAACGTTAAAAACGAGCGAAATATTCAAAGTGGAGAGAAAGTATACAAAATGTGGGGGATTTGATTGAATTTTTCCAACCGCTACTTTTTATTGTAATTCAATAAATAATGCAACACCTCGATTTAACGCATTATCGAGGTTTTTTGAAATATAAGCCTTAAATTTTCCATCTTCTTCGTCACCCAGTATATCGTTTTTTCCTCTTTGATTTTTTTCACCCTTTCTTCTCTGAACAAGTGAATACCATTCGCATGTAGGTGTTATTCTGTATACTGTTTCACGAGAGCTTGTACATCTAGTTTTAATAAACATGTTAAAAGGAAAGAATCTTCTTTCGCACAATGATTCACCAATTAATAATACATGCAAAAAGAAAGAGATTTTTAGAAAATATAAGAAATTTAACTCAACTCGTTTCGTTAATAATCGGAGAATCAAAAGAAACTTTCCACCATCAAAAGTGGTCGACGATACACTGTCAAACTGAAAATCAAACTTATCTACACAGATTTCCCCTAAATCGGTACCCGCAACAATGTTGTCTCGAACAGAATCCGCAACTCCCCTAAATCACGGCCACGTGGCCACGTTTTCTTCATGAATGAAACATATATATATAACGAATGCAAAATTTCCTTCGTCTACCTTTACCCGATAAAAATTATATTTAATCTAAATTTTACCATACGTAAATTTACAAACATCGTCATATTTTTCGACCAACTATCCCCTACGATACTATCCCTTACGATCCATCGAACGTATATTAAAAAAAAAAAAATTCCATAACCTTCCGAATAACCTTGATGGATGAAAAAAAATATATATATATATATCAACCAAATATAAATAATACGAAAAACCAGCGAGCAAACTTTCCCCAACTCGCCCCAAC